TCCGCGCCAGGCTATCGGGGCGATTAATTGGCAAAATTGGAAATTAATTGGCGGAATAACTTCTCTCCCTAAACTGGAATTCTCTGATCCAACGCCGCATTTAAGCGATTAAACCGCGCAGTTCTGTCGAGCATGGCCAAAGATCACAAACGAATTCAATTTGTCATGCTGCCAGTATTGCTTTCATGCTCGGCACAATTGTCGCGCACGAAGCAATTTGCGGGAATACTCACAGAAAAAAGCCGTGCGACTGCTTGCAAGCTCGCGAGAAATGGTCTAGCGACGAGTCGCGTCAAAATTTACATTGCGAGAATTTACGACGAAAATCTTCCAGTTCCGGTACGTCTTAAAATAAATTCCACAATTGACATAATTTCTCTGTACAAACATCTTGAAAGTCTCTCTGAAATCTCGTTCAAAAATTTTTATTTTAAATAAATAAAGCTTTACATTTGTAAACTCCGTCTTTCTCTCTCTTTGAAGTCTATGTATCAAGTATCCATTAAAGATATAAAAAAAAATGTATTAAAAAATTAATGTCGAATGGATCAAGAAAATTACAACACAGATAGGTATAAAAATAAAAAGAGCAATTAAAACGGTCTGCAAAATGGATTATTTGCACAAGTATTCGTGTGCAGAAAAAGAGAAACATCGACCAAGTAATTGCTTTTATTCAACGATATTGGGCGAGAGAGTGAGAATTATTTAACTCTTGGCTGGAAATGACGGTCGCGTCGATCTCGGATGAGATCTCACTAGGCTTTTGTTTCGAAGCGAGGTTGGCGATTTCGCACCACGAACTACTTTTGTTATCGACATTCGCGCTCGGGACAATCGGAAATCGACACAGAACTGCACACAGGGTGTCCAAAAATATTATCATCTTTTATAATATTAAGTATCCATGAAGAGGAAAAAAGGCTAAGATATTCTAAAACTATTAAAATAAATACCATTTGAAGTAAAAAAATAATTTCTTAAAGAAGACTTTTCTAGTTATGAAATTCTCTATAACATAAAAATTATTAATTCATTACTTTTATTATTAAACGTTTGATTTTGATATAAAAATAAGATTACACAATAACATTTAAAATACAAATCTCGTAAGATAACAAATAACATTATGAATGAGATAAGAAAAAAATATCTCTCTTAGAGAAATAATAAGAAATAAAATATAAGTAACATTTATTTAAAAAGAAATCTGTTTTTAATCCATTGAAGAATTTAAAGTGGACACTCTGTGTCCAGGTACAGGCGTTATTTCATGGTTTACCGCAATATAGCTCTTCGATTTCCAGTATTACGAGATGCGTACACAACTGTCGTGTGTTACTTCATGTATTATTACTTTGATTATCATTCAGAGCGGAGATTACTATAATACATATATACTAACACGTAACACATATTCGAGAAACTCCTATCGTCCGGCATATATTTATTGTTGCTTTTATCGCGCGTAATAAAAAGAATATCACAAGAGGGCAAATTTCTATTATGTTTCTCTATAAATATCATTTACGGTTACGAAAGCTTCTTACTTCTAGAAACTTCGATAATCTTTCTTAATTTCAAATTCATACGATGGACTAAAACGATTTATCACACATTTGCATTTCATTTCGATATAGTTTCACCAATATAATTTATTTGAAATCCTACTGCGAAGCAGTATGTGTTTACTCGTTTATATGAAATTTGTATACTAAAACAATGTGCATTTCAGATAAATAACATGATAAATAAAAAAAAAAAAGAAAAGTTTTAAGAAACGAAATCGTCTTTTCACATTGATGATTTCCATATTATCTATTGTCATATAGATTATAGAACTCTATTTTGATTATATATTAATCATATAGATCTGTTGTCTATTTTATAGTCTTTCACGAGATAAAATTTTCGCACCAAAAATTGCGAGAGCGACATGTCTGAAAATACTCGCAAACGTGAAATATTTTTCCTCAGGCGCAAATGTATATATTCGCGGGTATCAGATTTGCGTTATCATCACGCTGCCTTCATTTGGTGCGTCGCGTGCCAAAAATGGAATGAAAATGATATCAAATGAAAACGAGGAGCCCGTCAGCAAAATTAGACGAGCGAATTTTCACGTTGCGTCACTGCGACGCGTTTGCGTCGGTCTATTTATATCGCGTCGACAGGTACGTACACGCGAGCCGACACGCCAACGATTTAGCCGATAGCAAACATCGGCGCCGTATGTCGTTGGACGCACCGGCGTTACGGTGATGCACGCACGCACGCACGCACGCACGCACGCACGCACGCACGCACGCACGCACGCACGCATACATGGGCGCCGCTGCAATTTTTTTCGCAACAGACTTTATGTACATTCCTTAAAATTCCATTCATCTCTTCCGGATTAAGGAAATATATCTCCTCTGAATTCTAAAGCACTAGCAATAAGAATAAAAGAGAGAAAAATTAAGGAAGTTAGTTATCTAATTAAATTTATCCTAGTTTATAAATTTATTTTTGTTCAAAGATGGTTTTTTTCTTTAGAATCAGCGTTCTTTCATTTATAATAAATTTTTAGAAAAGGCACGTCAAATCGATGCTTGAATGTATCGAAATTCATTGTTGCTTCTTTAATATGATAACTTCATTAAAATTAATAGCAAATTTTAAATAGATTATTTATATTAAACTGTAAGGTATAAATATAATTTTTTTAAATTAGATTAAACGTTAAACAAAAAATTTGATTTAGTGGAAAATCTTAAAAAATTAAAATTAATATGATTTTAACAGCTAACTGAAGTTAAAAATTAAATTACTTGAGATTGACTAGATCAAGTTAAAAGTTATTGACATTTTAACTTTATTATCTAACTTGTAACACGTGATATCATATATGAATATATTCGATATTTATATATTAGAATGTATTGTTACCGCATATACTGATAACATTATTACATTATAACATATATCTGTGTAAAAATATTTGTTGAACATATTTGTTAATTTATTTGCAGAATGATTAACAATTCTGTTTTAATGAGAACTAGTTTCATATTAAAAATTAATAAACTTTCTACGGTTAATAAACTAATATCGTGTCGGTTTCTATATTTCTCCTGCTTTTCCTGAAAATTCAGTGGAGTGCCAATGCAACCCCCGGTACAAACGCATATATACGTAATGTATGTGTGCATCATTCTACATAGCCGTGGATGAAACGCGACGCACAACACGCACGCATGTATTATACTTCCATCTCCTCCTCCTCCTCTTCCTTCTCCTCCTCTTCCTCCTCCTCTTCTCCTCGTCGACGTGTCAATTTAACGGCTTCCTGCTCTGGCGTCGAGTTTCGTCGCGCACGCACGTTTATCGACCGAAATGTTCCGCGTCTCTTTCGCATCGTATGCGTGTGCAGTTAAAGAACATCGCAGCGTAAATAGTAAAGAAAACTGGTAAACAATAATATGCATCTTTCTCTTTTTTAACATATATATTAATATTTTTAAAGTCCAAAGACTTGTACAGATTTGTATAATGATAACTTTTATCCAATTTTTTAACACGTATGTATTATTTGGAAAATTGTCACATTACAAGTTGAAAGTTTTAAGTCAAATGCGTAATCTTGTTAAGAGAAAATCAACTTAAAAGTTATAGGTAAATCGTATTGTAAAAGAAATAAAAATGATATTAATAAACTCATTCGGTACAATGGTAAGAACTTAGCTTTTATAACATGTAAAATTTAACAAAGTATTCAAATCTTGGCGTGTTTCGGATCTTTCCGCTTTAAGAAAGTAACATTTTAATATTCTACCTCGTGCATAATTATATCTAATTATACCGAGTATACTGAATATCGTCCGTCGGTGCTATTGTAAAAGCAATGCAACGTTAATTGAACGCGAAACGAAAAGCTTCAAAGCGTCTTGTCGAGGGACTCTCACGGTCTGTCTGTACTTCAGTTTGCATTGAGTGTAGTTGTTACATCCCTTTCCATTTGAACTTTTGCATCTCACTTAGAAGCAAAAATATCTTTACTAGAGCCTTCGCTATAGCCGGCAACTTGTCGGTAAAATTAACTATCGATGATCGGGCATTACAAAAACGCAAAACTCTTATTAACGTGAGACTTGACGCACCGACGTTTTCTGCACTCGACTTTATTTTCTTTTTTCTCTTGTCCATTTCGTTCGCGCTACGACCACGGCGTTATCAGCACGGGTTATCTGCTAACTTCCAGCGTTTTTTCTATGCGTCATACGCTCCCTCCATACATATTCCTCTTGCCCCGCCAGAAATTCTATACAGCAATAACGAACGCCCGCACCACCCTATGATATGGGTGTTGAGTATCCCCATATAGAATCTGTTGTATACGACATCACGTATCGTACAAAAGCCATCATGTCGTGCGTAGTTTTCAGAAAAATATTGAGCACAATCATTTAAATTTAAGTGCCTCAGAAAAAAACCGACAACGATTTATTGTCTCAATATTCTAATACTGTTGTCTTTATAAAAAGGTTTATAATATGAAAGTTTAATTCTTCTAATAAAATGACATTTTTTTTAAATAAAAAATTCGTTTCTTATCGAGATATGAAATGAAAATTGATATGAAAAGAATTCAAAGTTACTAAATAAAGAAAAATCAATTTATTAAGTCAAGAAATATCAGTAGTTTAATACAAAATATTCAAATAATATAGATCGTAAAAAAATGTAAATATGTAGTACTTTATACATAATATTTATCGCCATATATTAATACATTATTTTATATCAGATATATTCAAATATTAAATATTTTTCTATAAAAAAATCTCTCAATGTGATTGCCTCATCAGCAAAATTGAATTTTAATCAATCATCAATCAGTTATTATATTTTTTCTTTACAAAATTCTATCATTTCTGTCATTTCTGTCTGTGTCTTTAAAATTGAAAACATGATGAACTATTAAAATTATTCATATCAAAATTTTCCTTTGACGATACCTGGAAAGACGTCCTTGGTGTCGGGAGTGTAAGGATGAATCCAGCCGTTCCTCTGCTGTATGATGCACTGGAACATGATGTCCTGAATTTCGTAGAGGTCCGATGTGAGAAAAAACTTCGAGGATCAGAGTACGTCGACTCTTGAAATTTTTAAATAGTTTCTTCTTATCACGATGATGACAAAACGTACTTAATCTAGTTTACGTATCTGTGAGATCGTACGATCGTCGATTACGTATCTCTATCGTAAGTTGCGATCACAATTGCGCGGCGAATCAAACACTCACATTTTGATCTCGGATAACATAGATCCCAGGAATGTATGTGTTCTGTCGTGTATTTTGCCGAGAAAGTTATCGTATTATTCAAAGGATCGTACTCATTACGAATTCGTCGATTCTCGTGACGCCTGACGAGAGATTGCTCTCTCTCTCTCTCTCTCTTATACTCAATCTCTCGATTCACGCAAATCGATCCTGTTTCCGGATTTACATGCCGAGGAGAAAATAATGCTGACTTTCACCATCGATCTCTGATAGATGATCTTACATCACGTCGCATATTATGCCACGTTCCACGTTAGAAAAGAATAGTCAGTTAAGCGCGAACTTTACGTGTGAGTCGTACTTCTATGGACGTAACTAAGTCGTTGAACCGCATGACGGCGTTTCCATCAAAGGCCACTGCTATCGTCACTATCGCCAGGACAATCCTGCCTGCGAAATTCAGCGAACTGCGACAATCCTGGCTCATCTTCCCCACTATGAATTCTCTTCACTTCTAATTGCCCCTCCACACACTTCGATTGGATCGTTGATCTTTCTCAGCCAGGAAAGACTGTTCTCTTGAATTTTTCGTAGTCAACGTTGTATTACGTTGTATTTCGTCTCTCTTCTCTCTCTCTCTCTCTCTCTCTCTCTCCCAATTAACAATCTCGTTGACTTTTTCTCCTTTCTATAAATCTACCTTCCTTTGACATTTATTCCCTTAATTGGTTCTTTGATATTTTAATAATTACCTACTTTATATTGTTCTTGAATATTTTATATCTTTTTTTATAGCCGCGGCGCTCTCAAGCTTACGAGGATCGAAGTAATTGGTAACGAAGTGGCACATTTAGTTATGTAATTCGTGGCAATACTCCAATTCACCGTTAAATGTGTTACTAATAGACATATGTATTTGTCTTAATTTTAACATTTAATACGCTGTATTTTGAATAAATAAATTATTATTTGCGTGTACTAAAGTAACTTTTTTTTTCCTCCTTCTCCTGAAAAGCGAAGAGGGAACGCAGCGGGGTTCCCGTCTATTCTTCGCTTTGCAAGAACACTGTTGTTACTACGTACAATTTCGTCGCAGCGAAAACGACGCCGGGCGCAGTTCCTCTCGCTTTGTTACGGCAGGCCAGTGAAGGACACCACCTGTGCGCGCAGAGCCCAGCGAGATGCGCCGGGACGACGTCCTTGGGAGACGCACTTACCACGGTCCCTCTTTCTTTCCCTCTCGTCGAGAGGAAAGAGGAGAGAAAGAGAGCGAGGGCGTAATATTTGCAATTTCCAACGTCAAAGTGACAGATGGAACGCCACCGATGAAACGCACACTCGCGCCGCGGAAAAGATCAGCCGGATAACTCTCGGCGCGAAATGTCCTTCGGAAACGTTTGCGAATCGGAGATTCACACACGGCACCACGACACGTACGACCACCACGTTCAGGATATCGGATCGCCCCGCACACACGATGCCTCGCAACCGCGGGGAGAGAACAGTGATCAGAGAACAGCGTTTTCCCGACTCCTCCGAAGCTCACCGCGAATCGGAAGCGGAGACGCCGACAATGGTATCCGCGATCTCGGTACCGCGTCCCACGCGACCAACGGCGAGAAAACGATCCGAAAGAGAGAAAGAGAGAGAGAGAGAGACAGAGAGAGTGAGAAGGGTCTCTTCTCTCCCTTCTTTCTCTCGTTGTCGATTTCTCAGCTCTCAGGAAAGAGAGAATCTGAGCCGGCGACAGAACGAAACGAAACGGAGTGAAGCGGAACGGAGCGGAGCGGAGCGTCGTTCCCCTCGGCACGGCGATGTCGTCGCTCCTGCGACGACGACGACGACGACGACGACGACGACCACGACGACCACGACGACGCTGACGAGGAGAGATCGGAGGAGGGTGGCTGGTCGGGTGGCTGGCTGGGATCGAACTAGATGGCTCGTCGCCAGGCAACCGGATTTTCCCTCTCGGTCTCTCGCGCGCGCGAGTACGGTTCTCTCCCCCTTCTTCCGCCCTCCTTTCTGGTCCCGGTTAGCTCGCTCGCTCGCACGTTCGCTCGACCGCTCGGCGCTCTCCTTTCCTCGCCTTCTCGTTCGCCGCTCCACTCCGCTCCACTCCGCTCCGCGAGTCGCGGACTCTCCTCCACCCTCCCGCACACTGCTGTTCGCTCGCCCGTTCTTTCCTCTTACCCCCCCCAATCCCCGTACACACCACCGGTACGGCGCACCGGTTCCTCCGCCGCGATTCTCTCGCTCGCTCACCCTCTGCGTGCCGGAGGATGCGGCGGAGGATCCTCCTACCTCATCTCCTCTTGTTCGAGATGCTGCCACCACGAACGCTGCACGGATGTGAGAGAATCGTCTTAGACGCCTTGTTCAACAATCACCACTTTTTATACTCACCATTATTTAACTTTTAATTTCGTTGTAATCTGAGAGTTTTTGTTCGAGATTGCACGTTGGAAATTTGATTTTTCATCCTGCGGTTATCGAAGACCGATTGGACCCCATACGCGATTAGAATCTTGACGATTTCTCGAATTTCTTTAAACAAACCTTCCGCGTGGCCGGTCACAACGTAAAATGGCACGTAGAAGCTAAATAGTACGATTCCCCACTCTTGATACTTGGACTTCTCTCAGCGCGATAAATATTTGCCGAGTCGCGTGATAAAGTATGTCGATAAAGATAAGATATATCGCATTTGTTATGTATGTACTTTAATCGCAACGCATACCGGTGGCGACAAAGATTGTTACTAAATATTTTTACCGGATATCGCGCGCGCGCGCGCGCGCGCTCGTCCCATTAATAAATTCCAGCAATAGACCGCAGTAGACCGATAAATCTTGCCCTTTGTAAAACTTTGAATAATTTACGATACTCCATTTTTCGATTCTGAGATCACAGCTCTCGCGTAATACGCGACCTTAATACTTTATATTAAGTTTAGACATATAAGTTCTCATATATCGTCTCTGTCTTTTTTTTCCTAGTAAGAGAGTCGTGAAATTTCTCAACTGATCCTTTCGACGGTGTTAATTGCTCCTTCCAGCTATACTATCAACGTGCTGGCAAGGTGCCGGTCGCGGAGAAATCGTTTGGATTCGCGCTTTTCAGCATCAACCGGCTGACCGGCACTTTCTACGTTCCACTTGGAAGCGCGAGGGATCCCGCTGGTTTTTGGGCAAAAAAAATATCAAATCGAGAAAACGCGACTCGGAGAAACTCGACGGTTGTCCAGGTGCACGATGGGCTGAACTCTCCTTGATTGTTCGTCATCTGCAGTGAGGCAATAGAAAAGGAACAATACTATCGGGTGAAAGAGAGAGAGAGAAAGAGAGAAAGAGAGAGAGAGAGAGAGAGAGAGTAGAAGTGGGGTAGGTAAGTTTATT